GTCGCTTTATAATACCCAACAAGAGACTACACATCATAAAGGAAAAAAAAAACAAGTAAAAAAGCTGTAAGTTCGGCAGGGCCGAACTTTGAATTCCCTCCACCATTTGGAACGAATTTGGCAATTTTCAAAAAAATCCCTAAAATTCTGCTAAAATGCTAAAACTACCGAAAAATTGGTGAATAATGTAGCTAAAATCATCAAAATACCGAAAATAGGGTGGTACCGTTGTATGGGAGCTATAAGAAGACATGTACCTGCACCGATAATTTATACCATACCATATAACGGTACCTCCCGATATTCGGTATTTTGATGATTTTATCGACATTATTCACCGGAATTGTTTCAAATTCGTAATGAATACTACAGCCTATGACAGAAAATTGTCTGTGCCGGTACATGTCTTCGTATAGCCCCTGTATAACGGTACCTCCCTATATTCGGTGTTTTGATGATCTTGGCGAAATTATTCACCGGAATTGTTTCAAAGTTGGTATTTGAAATTCGTAATAGATACTACAGCCCAAGACAGAAAATTGTCTGTGCAGGTCCACGTCTTCATGTAGCCGCCATATGACGGTACCTCCGGATATTCGGTATTTTGATGATTTTATCGACATTATTCTCCGGAATTACTTCATACTTAGTAATTGAGGTCCGTAAAAGATACTACAGTCTAAGACAGAAAATTGTCTGTGCAGGTCCACGTCTTCTTATAGCTCCCATATAACGGTACCTCCCTATATTTGGTATTTCGATGATTTTAGCGACATTATTCATCGGAATTGTTTCAAATTTGGTATTTGAAGTTTCTAATGGATACTGCAGCCTAAGGCAGAGAATTGTCTGTGTAGGTCCACATTTTGGTGTAGCTCTCATAAAATTGTACATCCTTATATTGATGATCTTAGCTACATTATTCACCGATGTCTTTTTTCAAGGTTCGCATTTGAATATTGTAATGGCTTGTGAAAAAGGTGGTCTATACAGGTCCATGTCGTCGTTTAGACCCTAATATAACGGCTACATTTAGAATTTTTAAGATTCTAGCAGAATTTTTAACGAATTTTTTTTGTTCTGAAATTTGCCAATTTCGTTCCAAATGGTGGAGCGTATTGAAGGCTCGGCCCGGTCGAACTTACAGTTTTTTTACCTGTTTATTTTTTTTTTCTACCAAGAGAAAATTCCGAATTTGTCTGAATCGTTAAATTCAGTCCAGCGGTTATGAGGTTCGTAACTAACACAACTTTCTTTCAAGATATAGGCAATGTTCGGAAAAAGTAAGTCGAGCGCATGTCGAATTTGAACTTATTCTATTTGAAAATGTGATTTAAATTTTCAAAACACGAAATAACGGGATGTTATATTGGGGCTAAAAAAACGAACCTAGGGTAAGTGCGCCTAAGTTCGGCATGTCCCAGTAGTCGGCACTTTTTATTTTTAAGCTCAAATAAATGAAACTATTATAACTAAATGTATTTTGTCTACTTCAAATATATTGTCAGCTATCTTTGTGTACAATTTCGCTAAGAAAAGATGATTAATTCTAATAAAAATTAAATTTTTGTCTGTGAAGGTCCTCTACAATCCATATTTTTAAGAAAAGTACAATAAAGACATCGAATCAGTTTAACTAAACAAAAATATTATATTTTAATAAATTAATGTATTATTATTATTAATTTATTATTATTAATTATTAATTTATTATTATTATTAATTATTCTTACAAAAATTTTGGTTGACGACTGTTGGAACATGCCATAACGACAATTAGCAAGTGGTGCCGACTACTGGCAAAAAAGCATTGTTTAAATAAAACAACAAATTTATGAAATTTAATAAAAAGTTATGAAAACTTTATTTATTATTGCAAAAACTATACAAAATTTCGAATCTGAATAAATTAACTTTGTAATAATTGAAAAGTTCCACTCAGAATGGTGAGCGATTAAAAACGCGAAAATCCTAAAAGTGCCGACTACTGGTACACTTCCCTATATAGTCAACGTTGTGCCACAATGGCACAATTAATTTTCAACATATGTATTACATAATGTGATCTAAGTTGTAAAAATACCGAATATCGAGAAATAAATTTAGGCTACAGGAAAACGTGGATATTTATAGACATATTTTGCTACAGTAAGTATGACCGATTATATAATCTATTAACCGAATTATGAGCGAATCCGTTTAAAATATGGATTACATTCTTAAAATGCGGAATATTGGGAGCTATGAATATATGGATATATAGACAATGTGTTGCTATAGGAGCTATAACCAGTTACAAACTCTAAGTACCGATTTTTAAACAACTCTGTTGGAAAATGTATTCTAAATAAACAAAATATCGAATATCGGAATGTATTGTTATATAGGGGCTATACGAAAACGTGGACCGACATGGCCCATTCGTGAACTTAAACTGCGAATAAAATACTGATGAGTGCAAAATTTTAGCCTTCTAACTCTATTCGTTCCAAAGATAGCATGACACAACAGACAGATAGACCGACATCGCTAAATCGACTTAGAATTTTACGCTAATCAAGAATAAATATACCTTGATTGGTCTAACATGAGAAGTTACAAACGTAATGACAAAGTCAATATACTCTCCATAGTATGGTGGGGGACATAAAAAGAATACAGCATACCCGTCACCTGTATGTACTGGAAATAGCTTTTGCATAAAATGCAAAGTGAATGTTACATTGATACCAAACTTCTGTAATGCTTCATATATGTAACATATTGGGTAGTTCTTCCAGCTATAAGTTTCGGTTTTTAATGGTTGCTATTTAATATATTTTGAAATCATATCCCTAACGTATAAACCAACAGATGTTATTTGAGCTCGCCATACATCGCCCGGTTAGAGTAACCCTTACAATTTGGTTCGTAGTATTTTCAAATACAGTGCCTTAAACTGTTCTTTCAAAATTTCAATGTCGTTTATAATTACAGGGAATATTCTGGACCCAATTGGACAAGAATACAATAATACTGGCCGAATAGTTTTTGTGCGTAAAAGTAATTTAGTTCTAGAGATCTGTAAAATGTTTTTTTTTTTTTTTTTTTGTAATTCAATATAATTGCAAATTTTCACTCTGAATTGCGAACGATTGAAGACTTGGAATTCCTTAACGTTTTTTTTAATATTGATCAAGTTTGATGGTTACGGAGTCGGAAAAATCCTTAAAAAATCGTCAAACAAGACAAGGCTACACTGCTAACTTGTATTAAATATAAATAAAGTAAGAACAAAAGGAGCAGAACATGAAACAATAGTTTCATATAAATATTTACAACATGTAGCAATATTTACAACATTTAGTTTTGACAAATTGATGTATGTTAAGCCCAGCGACAGATCAATAAATATAAATCGCCACAAGTTTGCGCTTAGATAGGCCGAGTTAAACCATTCACTGAACGACACAACATAGAATGTCGTGTTGAAACGAGCACAAACACCAACCAAAGCTCTGTCAAACAAAAATTGGGCATCCCTAGCAGCAGCGACAGTGCAAAACACCTGGAAACCGTGAACGGAGAGGAAAAACGAGTTCTCTCTGGCGTGTGGCATTTACTGCTACAGTGGTGTTGGTGTGTACTCTTCACTGTGTTAGTGTTCTCAGTTGGTTGTTAAGATGTTTAAGAGCGAACACGAAAGAGAAAAATCGCGAGAGAACATACCCTTTGGTGACAGTACATAATTAATTACGTGGTGATGGCGTTGACGGTCGGTGGTGGCGGCATCAGAAACAGTTGACGGTGGTGGCACGTTTGTGATATGAGTGGGTTCCTTGTGTTCATGGCTACATACATGAACATGTATACAAATACCTTTGAGGTGGACTATTACATTCAGAGACCGGCGGTCTCAACCAGTATGACTATTTACTTGATGCTTAGTTTGAGTACAAGTGACTCTTTCGCCATCGATGTGATGCAAAGTATGTACATAAGAGTTGGTCTCCTTTTACATGACATAGAGATGGTCGGCTGGACGTAGCGAATATCCATAGGGTTGTAGGGGAACATAGAAGAAAGGGTTAGACCATTGTGTTGATGTACTAAAATTAAGTATCTCTATGGTCAAGCATGTTATGGGGGAAGAAAGTGTTTGAACCTTTCCTCATGCCAAATAAACCAAGGGATGCCTAATTCGTGCACTGTATACGAACGGGGAAGTAAAGGTTTAAAAGTTTATATATGATCCTTGGGTGCTGAAATATTTTGTAAGCCACAAAATTCAAGAATAATGTAAGTAATCTTAGAATCAAAAAGCAATGTGGGTATCTATATAATTTAAACACCTACTTATGTTTGTTGGTAGAGAAGGTGGACACGTATGTATGAACAATCCTTTCTGTGTACATATGAATTTAACTACTTTATATACACGCATATGTGTGTGAATTGCGATTGTATTGAACGGATACTCATATGTTGCAGCGGAAATCGCTGCCATCACCCACTCAGGCAGTGACCAACGTATGTGAGAACTTCGATGCCAACGACACCGTCGAAGTTGCCGCAACGCACAACGAGTAAAACTTTAACACAACACAACATTTGCAATCTACTTACCACAATACCATCCTCACTACCAGCACCACCACTACCCACCACCAACATACAAACCAAACAAACTCCCGTATTTTGGGCCAACACTCAGGCCAGTAGAGTGAGAAAGAGAGTAAACTATTGTGAGAGAATGAAGAGAGTCCCAGAGAGGATGATTGCGCGAGCTTACTGTAAGTTCACCTACGCCGGCGTTATCTTTATTTTTTCTCTTGAAACTGGATGTCATACATCCCCCCGCTTTAACACAACACAAAAGCGCTCAACAAAAGAGTAAGGTTGACATTAAACCAAAACAAAACAGAACTAGCAACACACAGCAAATGATAAAAAACAAACTTCTCATGGTTAAATGAAGCACTGTGGCCGAAGAAAAGCGTTGCAAGCTGTTTGGTTTGTTTAATTCGCATTGGAGAGAAGCAGCACTAGTAAATGGATACGTATATAGATATGTATGTATGCATGTACGGACGTTGTGTGGACAGACGGATACGTGTATGGACGGATGAATGAATTGGTTGGCTGGCTGGCTGGTTGGTTCGGTCGAATAGATTGGATGGACAAACAAAGAGCTTCTTAGATGTAAACGGTTGGTCGCGTTGCGAGGACGTGATTTTGCTTATTTCGAATGTGAGTAACCGTCGCGTTTTGTGCTTTGTGTTTTCATATCGTGTTTTTCTATTATTACACCACGCATCACAAACTCGGCACTCCCCCACCGCAGATAGCATACAATCCATTTCTCAAAACATACTCTATTTCAAATCTTCGAATCAGAAACAATAACAAAACAACTAAAATCAGTGCGCCGGAATTTCTAAAATTCAAGTCGCTATAACTGCGATAGAACAGCTTAGAACTACAGCAGCTTCCACACCAACAGTGGCTACACAACGTTCAAGAATTGCCCACTTCCACACCCAAGTACGGCACGCACTCAAAGGAGCATTTGAACATTTCAGATTCGCAATATTGGTGATTGGCGTTTATTTACTATTGCCGCCGCTCTGCACATTCAGTCAGTGTCTTTTGTTTACCCAACGCTTTTTACACAGTTTTGTTTAGAGGTTCATCATCGACGTTGGCGTTTGCGGTGGGTACGTTACGCATAACGGTAACTCATGTGAATACTACTGTTCATAAAGTTTGCTGTGAACATCGCTGTTGCTGCGCTGCCAGCACAGCCACTGTCACTGCTGACGTTTACCATCAGCACCCTCCACCGCAAAGCTACTCCACACTTCCACAGTTCACAACAACAGACATATTAGCCGCTATCAAAAGACATTCGTGTTCTGAACGCCAAGTGCTTTAGACGGAAGAGCGCGCGCGACTCTGTGTCCACCCACAATAACACACATCGCTGACAAAGACAAATTTACCAAACAACAATAACACATCCGTATGTTCGACAACGCGTTCTCATATGGAAAGAACAATACCACCTGCCTGTTCGTTGCTTCCTAAGTTCTTATCAGCATTAGGAGCAGCAGTCAGCACTACAATAACACACAACCCTCTCCCGCGCATTCGCCCTCTACCTTGCCACCCAACCCCACCGCAGCTGCCCCAACAACGCAACCCCCGCGCGTAACCAACAAAACAAAGTCACATTACAAATTCGCATCAATGCTTCTAAAGCGCCGAAAATAAAATTGAATTATCTTCACGTATGTGTCCGCAGTCACTCACAGGACATCGACGTGTTCGGACCTCACAAAACCGCCATTGGACGGACTGTTTACATTAATTGAATCTGCAGTAAACAAAAACAAGTAAATCAAAACACCGCCAACACCCACACTTACCCACCTCAGCTCGCATAAGCCCGCTCCCTACCCCTCGCTTCATAGCCAATGTCCGCGCGTATTATCATTCCAGAGTGTTTCAATAATAATCGCGGCGTCGTTAGTCAGAGCCAATTCGCGATTCACAACCCTTCCACAAACGAATACAATCAAATTGTTAGTGACAAAAAAAAAACGATTTCACAGTGCAAATTTAAAAATCTCAGCAATCAAAAAAAAAAAATCCTACGAAAGAGCAAATAAAAGAACACTTTTAAATCTTACCAAATACGTTGTCGCCCGATATTACATGGATAAATTTTGAAACAAAGTGTGCAAGGTTCCTATTGTCTATGTTCTCACTTTAAAAGAGAAACGAATAATATTCATAAATCAATTTATTTTCTAACTATGCCATGGAAAAAATAAAACAAAACAAGAATAACTTTCAAATTAAATAAATCGATGCAATAAAACAACAAAGAAAAACAATTAAATAAAGAAATAAAAACATAAATAATACAACCGAAACGCAACGAAAGTGCCGTCGCAAATACATTTAACAGACCACGAGGATACTTGTCGCAAACTCGACTCGCCTGCAGCCACAAAATCGTCAACTTCAAAAACAATTTGCTTGGATGAATACATCGTGGAGGTGCCGTCACCTCACTCTCTCGCCCATCTGCTGCTAGTGAAGGAGTGACACCTTTACAGACCCATTTTCAAGTTTTGACAAAAAATGCGAATTAAAATGCCAGCCGTGAGAATTGCGCAAGGTTAGTAGTTGCAAACATACCTGTTTCTCATTTGGATAGTTTCTTATTTTACAAAATATCGCTAGACATTCTTTAAAATTGAAATGAGTTATTCGTGAAAACCACTCGATCATCCATGTCGACGAGTGACCAATGGCCTTCAGGACGATGACAGCCTCTTTAAAGTTTGTAACGAGTTTATTTCCCTTTTACAAATACAATTTAATAGATTGGAGAAGAACAGATTAATCGTTTCGTTAAACCACATCAGCGTTGCGTAAAATTCGAAAGTTATTCACAATGCGTAAGCCGCATCAATTCTTAGTGTATGCGCTACCCAAAAAATGTAGCCAACTTCACTTGTCCTGCTACAAGATTAAGCATAATTAGATGTGTAATACGGCAAGGAAAATGCTTGCCATGGGTATTACCTCTTTTCAAATGAATTAACGTAATGCAAAGAGTTTTGGGCAGATACCAACATTACGTTTTGACTGCGTATCGGAAATACATATAGTGCACAATGTTGAACAAAATATGTGAACATTTCGATATAATGTCAAATTTTTGGATATATTGACTTTAATTTACAGAATACGATACTTAAAGTTATATGACATTAGAATGGATAAATGAAGTAGAAACGGCAATAAGTAGGGAGGACTCATTCAGTTGGAAATGATAAAAAATTTTTCTTTTCGAACTGATTGTATCAAGAATAAGAGGAAGGTGCGTTAATTTTCCTTTTTATTATATTGCTTTGTTAAAGCTATAGTTAGTCTGACATTTTCTAATTCATATCTGTAAAGGTGTATTGAATGTGAAACCGTTCTATTTTTATCCTTTTGGAAAGTATCAAACAGTTGTTGCTGAAAAAGCTAGTTTTTGTTGTAAATTGTTGCTGCCGACACTACCTTGTCAAAATTTAAATATACATAATTAAGGTTTAAGTAAACAATAGCGTGACAATTTTCGCCGTTTGTTACAACCGTTCCAAGCAGTCGATTAAATATATCTATTCTGAAAGATTAAACAATATAACTAACACATTTTACCCTGGTAAACCCTGAAATCCTTTCCATAACATCCCTACCTAATACCTGACGCACAACTTGCTCACTTTTTTCTTCCGTTTGTAACACCTCGAAATATTCGTGGAGACCCTACAAAAAATTTATATTTCTGATCAGAATAAAATTATAAGGCGTTTTAGCGATGTCCGTCTGCTTGTTTAAATCAAGATAGAGTCCACATTATTTAATCTAGAGCTTTGAAATTTGACACAAAGGTTTGTGCATGTTAATTGGTATTGAAAATGGGCTTTAGTGGTCCATGTTTAGGTATATCCCCATATAATGGGACCTCCCGATTTTCGGTATTTTGAAGGTCTTTGCCACAATTTCCAACAAAATTAGTTGATAATAAGGGTTGCACTATTTGGGGTATATTATATTTTAATTAAAATTTGGTCAGACTTAATCCTTTATTGTTGTTTTTATAAAAACAACATTTGTTTATTAGTGGAGAACGATAGACAAGGCACGGTCGACGAAGGGGTTTTTGTTGTAACAGACAAAACCAACTTACATGGTTATACTACTTCGTTCAGGTAGAACGAAAGCATAACAAGTGGAGAAAGATGTAAATGTTTATAAGTGCGGTTGTAAGATTTAGAAGATTTTCCAAAAGAATTTTAGTTTTATTTAATTCTTTGGTTCTTCTTCTATTGAACTTACGATCTCGTCACTAGGGTAAAAAAGTATTTTTTTGTCATAGAAGTTATTTTTAAAATAACTTCTGGGGAGAATATCCCAGCCAAAAAACAAGGGAACTGATGAGGAGTTGTGGCTCTTTCCGAAACCTAGGTATTCCCTGTCTTTCCCCCTGGTAAACATTACCATCGTTCTCCACTAAAAACAAACGTTGTTTTTATAAAAACAACAATAAAGGGATTAAGCCTGACAATTTTGCAACAACAAAATACTATGGTATCCCGAACAAACAATGCCAATACTGTTCTAAAATTGATTAATATTCTAAGTTAACATACACTACTCTTTTCATTATTTCATTTTACTTCGATAAACATAGTGGTGGAAGGTAAAAAATTCCTTTTATAACCTCCACCATTCTATGGAGGGTATATTAACTTTGTCATTCCGATTGTAACTCCTCGAAATATTTATAATAGACCCTACAAAGTATATATATTCTGGATCAATTTCAAATTCTCAAATTCTAGCGATGTCCGTCTGTCTGTCTGTTGTAATCACCCTATCATTCGAACGAATCGAGATTGAAGGATAAAATTTTGTATACATGCATAGTTTACCAGTAGGCAGGTTAAGTTCGTAAATGGGCCATGTCGGTCCACGTTGTAGTATAGCATCCATATAACGGTATCCCGATATTCCAAATTTCATATTTAAAGTTTGTAATGTGTACTACAGCCTATGACAAAACATTTTTGTATACAGGTCGTCGTCTTCGTATAGCCCCCATATATCGGCAGCTCCCGATATTCGGCATTTTGTTGATTTCAGCATCATTATTTACCGGTGTCTTTTCAAATTTCGTATTGGAAGATCTTAATGGTTACAACAACCTATGGAAAACATATCGTATCCAGTCCACGTCTTCTTCTGATACTTGATATTTTCAGATTTTTGCGACATTAATTTCATATTTGAAGTTCGTAATGAAAATAAAAAGGGATTAAATGTGAATGTGTGCTTACGAATTTGATATAATTTTATTTAGTTGCGTGATTGTGTTTTATCATAGTGGGGAAAGTAGGTATTTTTGAACGGTGCGTCGACTATTAGGTAGGCATATTATAAATAAATTCCGTTTTTGATATTTTTCAGTTTTCTTTTTTACATTTGTCAAAACGTCTTTTTTAATAATATAACACATTATATGTCTAAGACGGTGAGAAATCACACTTCTTTCAAAATTGTATTTATTAACTCCTTCACAAACTTTACACAATTCCAAAAATTCACTTTTTCTCATTTAAAACTCAATCTATTTAAAATACCCATACTTGCCAGCTGAAATAAATAAATGAAACATGGATTGTTTTTTTTCGCAAGATATCAAGCGTAATTAAAGTGTATAACTTTTGGTTTAAAATTAAGATACAAACCGAATTCGGCACAGTTTTGCTTCAAGTTTCAGCTTGATAATTTCTAATAATAAAAATTATTATATAATATATAATTATAATTATTACAAAATGTTCGATAACTCAAAAGTTCGGTTAATAAGAGCGAGTAAGAGAGAAATTTTGACAGGTGAGGTACGCAGAGTTTGTAAATTGTTACTTTCCAGTTCCATAAGATGTTCGAAAATCATCTATTTTTTGGCCGATGTGAAAATGTTGGAATTTTTTTTTGCAATGATTTAATTATTTTAATATTTTATTCAGATAATAAGATTTCAAAATATACAAAAATAAATAACAACAAACGAAAAAAAGATATTTTTATGAAGTGTCCAGCAAATATCGGTGTAGAAAATTTTCTAAAAATCCGACTTTTAAAAATTTTAACCATCCGAAAAAATTTTTTTTTCTACTTCTTTTTGTCGGTTTGTTAAAAAAATACATGTTTTACTTATCTATTGACACTAGCACTAAATAGTGTCATTATACATTTACCGAACTGTGGATAAAATCAACTACAATCGCACAATAGATACATTTTGATAACTGTTCCGATGCGCAAATAGGTGTGTTTTGATTGGAACGAAATCACGCCAATCTCAATTACGAAGAAATAAAAGAAAATCTCTCTTTGGAGTACCGAAACCATGATACCTTTAGCCGTAAGTGGCTTGGTTTTATATGCTTCATATCAAAGAAAAGACACAGTTCATACTAATTCATACACGTTGTCGTAAAATAATAATAAACCAATAAAAAAAACTTAAAAAGTGTTTTGATGGCTAGCACACCTATTATTTACCATTCCCTTGGTTTGAAAACAAGGTGTGTATTGGTCACGGTGATACTGTTCTTATCAGACTGACGTACTTGGTGAGACTAATGACGTGGGTCAACAATGCTCTGGAAAATTTAGATGATACCAATGAACAAGCAATCGGACAATTGTCATTTTGCAAAGGACACACTATTTCATACGAAACATACATTTCTTTGGAGAAACAAAGTTCAGTGGTTACATTAGTTTATTGGCTCCAGCTCAAAGCTGCTCAGGAGCCAGACCCAGTTCACTAGTCCAATTTCTCTTAGCTCGTTGAAATCATCATCAATAAATTACATTTGTTTTAACGTTCTACAATAAAAATATGAAGATAGAAGAAAAACCCGGTCTATTTCACTCATAAAACATTCTGAAGCTAATATCAAACCCTATTAGACCATATTCAATTTAGATCAGGCTAAAAGTCAGTTGAAATTGAAGCCACGTTGTCTTTTGAAAGAAGTAGAGTAAATTGATTTACAATTATATTCGTCCGCATTCCAACTTTTATGAAGGTTTTTTTATATAGTTCGGCCCAATATTTAGTATTTGGATGGGGGTCTAATCGCTAATTTGATTGTAATTTGCTATTTTAAATTATTAGTGAGATATACAATTGATTGAAAAAATTGCCAGTATGATCCACTCTTTGACATAGCTCGCTATTCGATATTATGAAGACATTAACCAAATTTTCTCTTCATCACATTTTTTATCACATATAAGATTCAAGCTTGTCGATCCTATTGGTAGGAATTTTAATTTTTCATTTTTTACTCAGATGTGAGACCAGGAAAATATAATTTTTTCTCCTATAAAAATTATGCTAAAAACTAGTAAAGCGACAAAAAAGAAATCTGAGAAGTGCATGTGCAATTTGTTGCGTGTTGCATTGCTTGCATTCGGAGAGTTTTGAACTAATTAAATGTTGAATTCCCTGAACTCCTTATCGAATGGACGAAAAATGGCGGCGATGAGCCCTTGTCGGTCTCATTTCTTTATTTTATTTTTTTATTTGCATTACAAACCAAAGCC